GCTTGTGGTTAGCCAGAGGTGAAAGTTTCTGATCTTTTCAGGCATTTTCTGAGGATGTATCTGGCTTTCGGCATGCATGTGGGCTTCTTGATTCCCCCCATATACGTAGACGCTTTTAAACTCCGTAATCCCCCACTGTCTCCTTTTGCCAGCATCTTCCATGATAGGCTTTCCCTCCCATCGCTGATCCTGTTGTTCCTGTCTCCACATTGCTGCAGCCAGTACTTGTGCCTTTACATGCCAGTGAAGCCACCTCAGCCCTGGGAACACTTCAAGTTGAGTGAAACATGTAAAAAGCCCTTGTGTTGTTCCATCTAGGAGACTGGTCAAAACCCGTCACCATATTTCCTTAAGAATAAGATCTGTATTGCTTCCTCTGGCACTTGTAACCTTTGCCCAGAGTGCAGGCTGCCATCATCATGGTTGTTGCTAATCTGAAGTATAAGGGTATGGTGGGTGGATAATTAAAAGCTGCTTTCTTCACCAAGCCTTCTAATGGTTGTGATTTTTTTTTTCTTTTACTAGATTTCATCCTTTTGCAAAAATTGATACACTTTTTGACAGCTCATTAGTTGCTTTTTTGAGGGAAACAAGCCCTGAAATTCCCATTTCCATCTCTTTACTGATGCCATTTCCACATGGACGCATTTGTCTAATTTATGTGTTATTTACACATTTTACTTTTTCTCTTACACACTGTAATCTGTTTTGTGACTTAGTATTATTTCATCCTGAAGGTACAGAAACAGGCTTTGAAACTCTTATTCCATTTTCTTCATTAGCATCTCAGATAGAGCTTGGACCATTTTAGAACTTCAGGTACCAATAAGTTTGTACAGCACAAGGGTTAGTTACTTTTCTAATAAAAGAAAAAAAAAGGGATTTGGCTTAAAGTTATTTTCAATTTCTACATTTTTATATATAGTTTCAGAATATTGGAATATATTTCTAATGCCTTTATTTATTGCTTGGAGACCCATGACAGATACCTTGGGTGATTTTAAGTCCAAGTAAAACTTTGATAATTCACGTCTTGATAATTCAGTTGGGGATGTTTTTTCATTTTTTTTTTTTTACATCATTTAATTATTAGTAAATGGAAGACAAGATTTTTAGTGTAGATGATTAAGTACCTTAAAATTTTCACTAAACAAGTAATACTAAATGCTTATCTCTGTTAGGAATTGTCAACCTCAGTTAATGACATTTGGAGCTATTTAATCCTTCATGAGAGGAGCAGTCCAGGATATAATTTAATTTAGGTGTATTGCATTTAGTGATCATGTCTTTTTCAGCCCATTTATTTAATTTTTTAGATGTTTTTATTTATTTTTGAGAGCGAGAACACATGAGCACGAGTGGGGGAGGTGCAGAGAGGGAGACGCAGAATCTGAAGCAGCTTCAGGCTCTGAGCTGTCAGCACAGAGTCCAGTGTGGAGCTTGAACTCGTGAATGGTACGTTCATGACCTGAGCCTAAGTCAGAGGCTTAACTGACTGAGCCACCCAGGCTACCCTTTTTCAGCTCCTTTAATTAAAAAGAATTTTTGAGATTATCTTCAGACTTTTAGCCACTAGTTTTAGACTTCATTGATTTTTTTAAATCTAATTTCTCCTGTGTTTATTGGTTGACATTTCACTATATAAATGAACTACTCGTCTCCCTCAATTTGAATATCATGTTTCCTCATTATTAGATTTGAATTATGCATTTTTGTTAGAAATAACATCCAGGTTGTTGTATCTTTTTAAGTATGTCATAACCTGTTGAGACAGTGTATCAATTTGTCCCAATAATTTTGATTATTTGTTGGTGTCTGCCATATTTCTTCATTGAAATTAAAACTTTAATTTAGTAACTTTTTATTTATTTATATTGGTATGAGTTCATGTGTTCTTGTATTCGATGAGTTATAATGCATTAATGTTACTCAGATCATCCTAGCTTAGACTCCTTCATGAATTCTATGTCCTTTGAAGATACATCTCTATAATTCTTTAAGTACTTCCTCAACTTTCTGGCACAAGATGTACCAGGCATGGCTTATACTTTCCCTAATTCATCCTTGGAATCCACCTTTTCTCCAAACTCTCTGGTTTGTTTTGGTAGAGAATGGTATTTAGAAACCAATATTGGGGCTACTTCTGGACCATCTCAGCAAAAAAAGCTAAGAAAGCTAAGAAATATATGTATGTATATATCTATACTTATTTCTGTAGCAGTTTGTTAAAAACCATGAATTTATGTTGTTACCTTCAATTTTAATCTAACACCATACAGTACATTTAATTCTAGTTCCCCTTTTGTTATTAATTCCCTTCTTGAACAGTGGGAATCCATGCTCCTTTTATTCTTCACATATTTACTCATTTGCTCAAGTCTGAAATATGCAAAAAGTATACATACTACTCTAGATTTGAAACCTGCTAAGTAGAGTTCAATAATTTATCACAATTTTTCAAAATTTTTTAAGGTCCAATTACATAGAGTGAAGTTCACCAAACTTAAGGGTACACTTAGATTGACATGTGACAAACTCATTCCCCTGTTTAATGCACACACCTGTCAAGATACAGAACATTTTCATGACCCTTTATGTCTCTTTCCAATTGCTTTTCCAAACCACCCAAGGTAACTCATCTAACTTCCCCCAGCCCCCACTTATAGATATGTATTACCTTTTTTAGAACTTGATATAAATGGAATCACATAAATAAATTCTTTTGTGTCTGGTTTCTTTCAGTAATCACAGGTGAATTCATGTTGGCTATGTCAGTAAAACCTTGTAACATTTAAATAACATTAGGGGCGCCTGGGTGGCACAGTCGGTTTTAAGTGTCTGACTTTGGCTCAGGTCATGATTTAACAGTTCCTGAGTTTGAGCTCCATGTCACCTGCTGTGCCAACAGCTTGGAGCCTGCTTCTGATTCTTTGTCTCCCTCTCTCTGCCCTTCCCCTGCTCACCCTCTGTCTCTTTATCAAAAATAAATAATAAACATTAAAAATTTTTCAATATAGCAACATTAGCCCATGAAACTTTGTCAGATTGGATTTTTGCTTCCTTTTATATGTTCATGAATTTCTGAATATTAACATTTTCCTCCCAGCATGAGATATACTTCATTCTTCTTTCATATTGTTATGTATTCTTTGTAAAGACTAAAATAATGCTAATAACTAGGTAAGAAATTAGAAGGAATTAAAAATACATTGTCCCATGGAAGCTGTGACATTGGTCAAGGAATAAGTTTGAGATAATCTACTTTTTCATTGATTTGGTTTGTTTTTATTTTTTTGTAACTCCTGTGATCAGAAGAGTATATAATGCCTTACGAAACTGAGTCTTTTTTAGAAGTGCTTTAAGAAACTTCCTGTTGAGCACAGACAATAGGTATAGACTTTTGGCCAGTGACATAAATGTTAGGTCTTTTTTTATTGTCCATAATTCCCTGAGGCCTTTCTTTTTTCATTCTTTTTCCCCCCCTCCTTTTCCAGTATAAATTTCTTTATGTTGTTTAGTCTCTGTAATTTCTATTGATTTATTTTCAAGGTCACTCGTTCACTGCTCTGTCGTCTCCATTCTATTTCTTTTCCTTAGTTCTAAAGTTTCTAGGTCTTACTATATTTCTGATTTTTTATGAAACTTTCAATTTTTTCGTGTGTTTATAATTGTTCATTGAAATATTTTATGATAGCTGCTTTAAAATCCTTGACAGATAATTCCACAGCTGGCACCTTTGTATTGGTATCTGTTAATTATCTTTTCTCCTTCATGTTGGAGATTTTCTTGGTTTGTGGTATGATGAATAATTTTAGCTTTATTATTGTATCCGGGTCATTTTGGATATTATGCTATGAGACTTTGGATCTTCTATTTTAGTGAACCTCTTCTGACTGCACCAGCAGTTGGGGATGAAAGCCCTGATGCCCTACTTGGTCTCCATAGGCCTCTACTGACACTACCATGGTGGGGAGGGTAATTTCCATCTTACCTCTAGATTCTGGTCTCTATTCACCCCTATTGACACCCCAGGAAGAGGAAGGGGGGGTGTATGCCATTTTTACCGCTGGGTAGAAGAAGTGGAATTCTGATCTCCCTACTGGGTTACCACTTGTGTGTGAGGAGTGGGTTTCATGGTCTTCGGCTAGAGGAAGGCAGTTCTAATAAAAAAAATGTTTTGTTTTTGCTTTCTTTTTTTTTTTTTTTTTTTTTTAATTTTTTTTTTTTTCTACAACATATATTTTTGGGCAAGAGAGACAGAGCATAACTGTGCGGGAGGGGCAGAGTAGAGAGAGGACAGCAGAATCGAACATGCTCCAGGCTCTGAGCCATCGCCCAGAGCACCCGATCGCCTGAAGTCAACTCCCGGGACCAGAGGACCTGGCTGAAGTCGGACGCTTAACCGACTGCGCCACCCAGGCGCCCCTGTTTTTGCTTTCTAAGGCTACACCTTTCACAGTCCTTCCACTTGAGAGAGCAAGCTTTTCTTATGGTTGGTTTTCTGTTATTTTTTCTTTCTCTTTTTTTGCCTGTGCTATGTGATATTTCTGGGTTGAAGCTTCTCTGTTGTCCAGTCCAGTATGTATGAGGCAAAAAGAAACCCCAGAGAACTCACTATCATTTTGTTCTGCAAATTCCAGTGTCATTAGACAGTCTGTCTTCTCTCCACCATTCAGAATCTTGATGTTTGCTTTTTATATATTGTGCTCAGGAATTTTAGCTATAATTAGTGGAAGAAATAGGAAGAAACATGTTTTTTCATTTTGCATGGAACTGGATGTCCAAAATGATTTAAGAGAAAAAGTGGTCCATTAAGAATTTCAAAACAAATGCCCCAAAATTTTTAATTCTTAATAGTATTTTATCACCATATTTTTCTAAGTTACTAAGATGTGTTTAAGGTTGAGTGTATTCTGTTGTATATATGTATGTATGTATGTATGTATGTATGTATGTATGTATGTATGTATAAAAGCTTATATATTTCTTTATTCTTATAGGATTATGTACTGAAGGACTTTACCGTGTTAGTGGGAACAAAACTGATCAAGACAATATTCAAAAGCAGTTTGATCAAGGTGAGGTATATAAAATACAATCATTTTTAAATTATTTTCCTTACTGAAATTTCATGGTGGGAAGACTGATTTTTATAAGGAAGTGGGATTTTGGGGAGGAAAGAGTCTTGAAGCAGGATTTTAAATGTGTGATAGAATATTTATCACAGTCAAGAATAGGAGAGCTATAAATCTGTTACCAGAATTAGAAAAGCAATCAATTGGACAAATCAGCATCTTTCTAAGTCAGAAATAATACTTATTTAAAGGTGCAGTTTAATTTTTTTTCCATGCTTTAGGGCCAGCTAACCATTAGGAATTAAAAAAAAAGAAATCAAAGTTTTAAATGTAAAAAAACTATAAGCACTATGGAGAAAAATGAGTGAATATTTTATAATCTTGGAGTATCAAGGCCTAAACTTGATATGAAATGTAGAAATCCTAAACAGGATGATAACCTGGACTGCTATCTCTGTGTGAGATATTGGATAAAACATAAACAAAACCGGGAGACAAACTATAAACTTGAGGGAGGTGTGGAATAATCTTGGATGGAATAAGCAGTTCACATCAGAAGAAAGAGACCAAAGAGTATATGAAAATATGCTCTGTCTGTATGATTTGTAGATACAAACACTAAAATAAAAAGAGTTGATTTTGATTTATTATCAGAGTGAAAAGATTGTTGACAGAGTGTAGAGAAGCAGGTATGTTGTACACTGTTGGTTGTGGATACCTTTTGAGAGGTAGTTCATGTATAACTATTAAAATTCAGATACTTTGCTCCAGAAATTCCACTTATAAATGTTTATGTTACAGAAGTCTTTGTATAAGCTTACCAAGATATACTTGAAAGAGCATTTATAGCAGTGTTGTCTCAGATTTTTTTTAAAAAGAGGAGGGGACCTATCCACGTTCTTTATAAGTGGAATACTAGATTCCTGTGTAAAATAGTGTAGATTTATGTGTGTTAAAATGGTAAAATGTCAGTTGTTGAGTGGTGTGAAAGCTTTGGAAGTATTTTCTATATATAGGACTTCGTTTTAAATTTGTGCAATTTCACTTACAGTAATTAAGGAATAGGTTATAGTCAATACTATGGCCTCTTGAATTATACTTCATGGTTTTGTTTTCTCGTTCTGTCACTTACTGTGCCTAGGGCAATTAATTTTTCTAAACCCTAACTTTTTCATATCTAGACTAGGAGTGATAAGAGGAACTGGGATGAATAATGAGATAATGAAGAGTTTTCTGTGCCACACACCATATCAAATATTCATCGGAGAGCTCTTGTTATAGAAAATGTAGCCTAAGAAAATAAGCTTTAGTATATAATAGTGTTTATCATAGCATCTTTAATGTTTTTAAATAAAATCTAAATGTTCAGTAATAAAATATTATGTAAATTGTTAAATCTTGGGGAATATTTTGTGGTCATTATAACCGTTTAGGGCAAAAGGTTATTAATGGGTTAAGGATGTATGAATTCTTAGTACTGTTCTTGCAAATTTTCAATTATGTTACAATTAAATGTTACCTGGTACACACAGGAAAGGTTTTAAACGTTTGCTTGTGAAATTTTAATCATCTTAGATAATGCCTTGAAAACAAAATCCAGTATAAAAATGTATTTATGATTTTTCTAGTTTTTTTTTTTAATGAATAAAAAGTGATGAAAGGAAACATGCCCAAATAAATAAAATGTAAATAGTGATTGTTTCTAGGTGATGGGGGTAATTTTTTTCTTGTTGTTGATCTGTGTTTTTACATTTTCTGTCATAAATATCAAAATTTGATATCATAAATAATCAAAATTATAAAAAGAAAAAATAATTCTTTTAATAGCAAATTAACCTTGTGATACACCTTTAGTATATTCCAGTCTTGTTTTTTAAGTCAGAACTTCACTGAAAAGGGTTGAAATGAAACTATTCCATACAAAAAAATCAAGTGTAAGCTAGAAGGTGTAAACTCACTTGATTTCAGCAAGTAGAAGTAGAAGGTTTAAACTAAAATTTATATGCTTAATTCCTATCTTTTGTCTTTCTGTTTTTTTATGGCCTTTTTAAAAGTTTGGTTTGAAAGAGAGAGAGTGGGGAAGGGGCAGAGAGAAAGGGAATCCTGGTAACCCAATTGACTGAGCCACCTAGGTGCCCCTGTAAAATAGCTTATGTAAACAAAATATTTTAAAAGGTAGGTATTAGTGAATGCTAATGCTCTATAACATACTAATAAGCCTAACAGCCTTTTACATTTGCTGTAGTAGAAGATGCTTCCTGCTTGGTTCTCTCTTCCCTTATGTAGGCAAACTTATTAAAACAGAGTAGGAGGGGCTCCTGAGCATCTCAGTTGGTTGAACATCTGACTCTTGATTTTGGTTCAGGTCATGTCACAGTTCATGAGATGGAGCCCTCATCAGGCTGCACTAGTAGTGCAGAGTCTGTTTGGGATTCTCTTCCCCACTTCTTTCTCTCTCTCTCTCTCTCTGCCCCTGCCCCATGTGCTCTCTATCTCTCTCTAAAAAATAAATAAACTTAAAAAAAAAAAAACACATTTGGGGAGGGGTGAATCAGCCTGTAAAGAAACACGGCTGAGGAGAAGACTCTAATACATTTCGATCTATAAGTACCTATATTTAGCTTACCTCTCTTATAATTAATTAAAATTTTATTATATAAATTATAAATTTAAATTTTTGTCTTGTAGATCATAATATCAGTCTCGTATCAATGGAAGTAACAGTAAATGCTGTAGCTGGAGCTCTTAAAGCTTTCTTTGCAGATCTGCCAGACCCGTTAATTCCATATTCTCTTCATCCAGAGCTATTGGAAGCAGCAAGTAAGTTGTAAGCCTCCTTTTTTGGAGAGAGATGATGATGGTAGGTTTAATGTACTGATTGCTTTGTGTTAAAATCATCCATGCACTAGAATGTGTAGCTAATAAAAATTCAGCTTATAAGACTCTTTCTTAAAGGTTATTTTCCTGCAAGTAAACAAAATCAGAATCCGGGGGAGTGATCCCCAGAAATATTTAGTTGTAGCTGGTCTCTCAGGTGACTCAGTGCTTCTAGCAATTTGAAGATCATTGTACTAGAAATTTGTGATTTGTATTTTTATTTCAGACTTAGAGGTTGTGTAAGAAAATTAAATGAACTCTTCATGTGAATGTATCTCTAACATATTTCAGTAAAATATTAACCTTTGTATGGTGTGTACCCATGTGTATTTAAGTTTTTTAAAGTCATATTAACTTTGGCCTCATATCTTAAGTCATTTTTTGCAAAAGTAAGGTAGGAAAGTAGGTGCTTATTCAGTATAACCATTTCAAATTTTATCATCTCTGAGTCAGTTTGACCTTGTGATTAGCTTTACATGCAAAAAGGCTATTGTAATAAATAATGTATTTAGCAGGTTTCTTAGAACATTTTGTTTTTGTTTACTTATTCTCATATGCTTCAAACAGATTCTTCATTGTCTTTTACAGTAAGCAAAGCAGGAAGCTTTATCAAATATTTTTAAATATGTGTTTCAACAAATTCCTTCCTACTTTGATTTTACAGAAATCCCAGATAAAACAGAACGTCTTCATGCATTGAAAGAAATTGTTAAGAAATTTCATCCTGTAAACTATGATGTATTCAGATATGTAATAACACATCTAAACAGGTATTTTTATTTTTTGTTTATGCAGTTGCACTGTAAATTTTAAACTTCAGTTTTAAATTGGGTTAATAATAAGATAGAGAAAAGGAGACAAACTAATTTTAAATATAGTTGAATTTTGGGTCTTCTCTGAATTTTTAAAATAGACTTTTCACAACTTGTTTAAAGAAAGGTATATGATGGGGCGCCTGGGTGGCTCAGTCGGTTGGGCGTCCGACTTCAGCTCGGGTCACGATCTCACAGACCGTGAGTTTGAGCGCCGTGTCGCGCTCTGGGCTGATGGCTCAGAGCCTGGGGCCTGCTTCTGGTTCTGTGTCTCCCTCTCTCTCTGCCCCTCCCCCGTTCATGCTCTGTCTCTCTCTGTCTCAAAAATAAATAAACGTTAAAAAAAAAAATTAAAAAAAAAAAGAAAGGTATATGATTGTGACTCTTTTAGTACACGTAATGATTATATAAATAGTATAGTAAGTATATTATATAAGTAGTAAGAATATTGCTATTATTCAACAGTTCTCTTCTATAGACTTAGAATTTTAGGTATGAAATGACTCTTAACCAAATGAACCTATTTGAAGTTGGAAAAATTGAGGTTTAAAGAGGGAAATTAGATACTCAGTGTCACATAATTAATAAGTGACACATCTTATGAGTAAGACCCCAAGTCTCTTAGAGGTTTCACTTCATTTTTGTATGACACTCTGTTGCTTTTGTATATCTTGCTTGTTTTGTTCGGGTATAGCCCACAAAGTGAAATTTTATCAGAAACTTAAATTCATATTACCGTCCATCCTGTTAACCTGAAATGCAGGACATTAATCCTGCACTAAAATCTTAAATATGTTAAACTTCAAGCATATCCTTTTTTGTAAAGTGATAACTCTCTTCACAATACCATTTATTAAGTGAAAGGCAGTATTGTGTCATAGCTTAAAGCTCAGACTGTTGAGTCAGAGAGGCTCAGATGTGAAACATTTTTATTAGTTATGTGACCTTAGGCATATTACTTAACCTTGCTTAAGTCTTCATTTTCTCAACTATAAAAATGAGAAATATAACACCTCACAAAGTTGTTCTTAGGACTAAATAGAATTACTAGTATTTGTGCTAAGTTTTTCAAAAGTCTGCTCCTTATAATTTCTATTGACACTAATGAAGTTTTTTTTATTTTAACTTATAACATCAATATTGAAACCCAAGTACATTTCAGTTTTGTATCTCTTAAATGTTTAAAGTTTTATTGTTGCAGTCAGTGTAGTATAAAATTATATTAAGGTTTCTAGTAACTATTCTCTGAAGTCTCCCTCCTTGAGAAAATACCAGCATACTAGTATTGTCATAAAATTAGTGGAGTATCATCTTTTGAAAATTATCATACAAATGGTTCTTGAAATGATAACAGATGTGTACATGGTACTGTTAGAGACCTTACCCAATATAGAGTGTAAAGATGGTTTGTGAACATATTATTGTTTGGCCATTTTAAAGTGCTGAAGTAAGAATTGGTGCTTTATTTAAAAAAAAAATTTTTTTTTAGTGTTTATTTACTTTTTGAGAGACAGAGTGTGAGCAGGGGAGGGGCAGAGAGAGAGGAAGACACAGAATCCAAAGCAGGTTCCAGGCTCCAAGCTGTCAGCACAGAACCTGATGTGGGGCTTGAACTCATGAACCCTGAGATCATGACCTGAGCCATAGTCAGACGCTTAACCAACTGAGACACCCAGGCACCCCAGAATTGCACTTTATTTAAAAGAATAGGGAAAAAAGACCAAGGGGAAAAGCATGGTCAGAGAAGCATAGTACTAGTCCACTAGCAATATTATTTTAGACAGTACCATGTTTGGCTTCAGTAATACAACCATACAGCAGCAGAAGCATACATGATGTGTTGAGGAATGGCAGAGGACTTTGTGATTCCAGTAGAGAGAAGGAAGAACAGAGTAAGAGGTAATTACGGTCAGAAAGGGAAGAGAGACAGTGTGAGATTATATAGGACAGTACTTCTCAGAGTGTAATATGTCTAACTTTAATCTTTAAAATGTTTTACTGACAAGGAAGTTGCTTATGAGTGTATGTCACTAAGCACACTGTTGACTTCGAACTGACGTTTGTGAGGAGGTGAGGAATGAGACTTTCTTAATGAAAATAGCATTGCATGCCTGTCACTCTGAGTGGTAGGGGGACCACTGGAGAGTAAAGCAGAGAAATAATATCATCAGACTTAAATTTTAAAAGGATTGGTCAACCAGACTGTAATGGGAACTCTGTGTGCTAAGTATTCTGAAGAGTGCTAGGGACCTAGAAAGTGAATAAAGCAGTCACTCATTAAGTTCTAGTATAAGAAATGAATGATAAATAAATATATAATAGATGATTGGCAAATTGCAGAAATGAATCCATGGAGTTACTCTTTTGTTATATTCTCTTTCAGCCTCCATATTCAGTCAGTTCCTGTGTTGAATCACTTTTTTCTCCTCTAATTATTTTTCCTATTCCTGTGCCACTGCTTTAGTTTAGCCATTATCATTTCTCATTTAGGTAACTCTAGTTTCATTGTAATTAAGCTCTCTTCATGCCAGTTTTCCTCTTGATCCTCCTGTGATCCTGATCTAAGAATGATCTTTCTATAAAGATGTTTTTTAATTGAATAACATCCTATATCCTAAAGAAAAAAATGTTCAACATTAAGTGGTCTAGTTCTAACTTACTCAGTTATGCCTTCTTTCCATTTCCTCTAAGTACACAACACAGCAAGTAGCTGGATTAATAGCATTTAATCAGAGGTATCAATTTGTGCCTGTCATTACATCTTAATAGGACTGCCTCAGTTCTCAAAATGTAGTCCTCAAACCAGCAGTAGCAGCATCACCCCAGAACTTGTTAGGAATGCAAATTATCAGGTCCCACCCCAGACATAATTATCAGTCTCTGTTTTAACAAGCCCTCTAGGAGGTTCTGATACACACTGAAGTTGAGAACCACTGTTTTGACTGAATTACCTTCCCTTCCTACCATTTTACCAATTGCCCATCACTCTTAACTCAAACATCAGACATTACCTCTTCAAGGAAGCCTTTCCTAGGCACCCTCATCTCTTACTTGGTACCTTTCTTTTGTAGACCTGATGCCCATGCTGTAATGTCTTTCAACTTTATAGGTGTTTTTGTTTTTTGCCTTTCGTTTTTTGTTCGGTTTTCTTTTTTCAGAATCTACACTTGTCTACTGCATAGAAACACCTGAATGGACCCACTATAGTTAGTTAACTTTATTCTGAATATTCTAACTTTGTCTCTTAACAAATAGTAATAACTTTTACCATAGAACACATATTTTTAGGGCATATTACTTTACCTCAGATGAACAATTCCTGTGGTTGGGGGAAGGGGTTTCTTTGGTTTATATTTAAAATATTTTGATGTGCAAATTTAATTACGAGATTTTCCCACTACCTTCCATCCTGGATTATTTCTTTATGTATGGAAGAGCATCAGATAAAAATACTAAGATTCTTCCCCAATTTAATAATTTTGATTTATAATTTAAGATTTTTCTCTTAGGTTTCTTATTACAATGGTAGAAGTGCTTGCTCACATATTTAAAGAGCTATATGTAAATCTGTTAATACAGTGTATAATCATTTATAAATTCTTAAGTAAATTCTTAAGTGATAAATTCTTATTAAAATTCTAACTAAGAATTTTAAGGTGGAATGTGTTTCTGTGAACTGTTGTCTTTCAAATTAAATTTGTAGCAAGGTACAATATATTTAATGATGGAAAAGATTCTTTTTTGCAATATTAGAAACTAAGTTTTTTGAAAGTTGAAAAGTATGTTGGTTGGAGGATATGATAGAGTAATTTTTCTAAAGTTTGATTTTTCCAAGGATCAGCGAGCTGACAATACCACGGTTTGTCTTTTCATCTCTCATAATAGTCAAGGAATTTGGATATGCAGTTAGAATTTTTGGTCTCTGTTGCCAGAAACTCATTAAAATTTGTCACGTGTCCTCCTTACTCTGAGAAAAAGGTTTTTTTTTTCACACACATTAAGGAGGTTTCTATACATAAATTATAAAACCCCTGGTACCACGTTTTTTAAAGACTATCTGATTTTTCACAAGGAATGGATTTGCTGTCTCCTGTTACTAGAATGTAGTTGAAAATCTTAGAATGCACAAGAAGAAAGATGGTTTAAATTTGAAGTTAAGATAAAAAATTTTTAAAACTAAATCATCTGAGATCTCTGATACTTAAATTGCCATGAATTTTGATTGGTTTCTAATTGTTTTTTCCTATCATAATTTCAGGGTTAGCCAGCAAAACAAAATCAACCTAATGACAGCAGACAACTTATCCATCTGTTTTTGGCCAACCTTGATGAGACCCGATTTTGAAAATCGAGAGTTTCTGTCTACTACTAAGATCCATCAGTCTGTTGTTGAAACATTCATTCAGCAGTGTCAGTTTTTCTTTTATAATGGAGAAATTGTGGAAACTGTGAACACTGTGGCTCCTCCACCACCTTCAAACCCAGGACAGTTGGTGGAACCAATGGTACCGCTTCAGTTGCCACCACCTTTGCAACCTCAGCTGATTCAACCACAGTTACAGACAGATCCTCTTGGTATTATATAAGTACGAATTGATTGCAGACAGCCTGAATTTGGACAAAAAGCAAATCTAGGCATGCATGTTTCAGGGTTCAGTAGTATACTTGATTTTTCTTACAGGTAATTCACAGTCAAAATGATGAGACATTTTCTCTTTGAACTATATGGTATAATTCCTTAGTCATTTACATTACAAATCTAACATGTGATAAGCATGACTGGAGAGGTTTAATTTTTATAAACAAAAATAGCTATAAAATACAAAGCTGCTGTTGCATGCAACCTTATTGCAATCAGTATATCATTCCTGTGGCATTTTGTCACATTATATTGTGAATAAAATTTTTCTATAGAAATTAAATGATTTAAAAACTCACATATATGAAACATTTAATGCTTTTCAGCCTGCTTTATGGCTGATTTTGTTATTTGATGTGCTGATTTGGGCAACTTAATTTACATTTTAGCAGTCTGTGTAGATAACTAAAAGCCCAGTTAAGTATTTTATAATTTCAGGCTACTTATGCCATGCTTGGGATGTTGTTTGAAAGAAAGAAAAATACACTTATCATATTTCTGCACCTTCATCTTTACTTCTAAATAAACCTGTGGATGATTTGATGAGGGGTAAATGAACATATTTCTTGTACACGCATACCAAGGATATACTTGTGGCTAAAGTGAGTTGATAATATTGTGCAAAGGATAGTTGTCACCAACTCATTTCTTTATGGTCCATAATGAAATAAACATCTTGTATACTGTTAATTCTGTAAACAGATGCATGTTCAAAAGATCTATGATGGTCTTGTAATCTTAATCTAATATATTTTAGATATTTTAATTTTTTCCCTCTTGGGAAATACATTTAGTATAGTGTAGAAAATACTTCATGACATTTTCATATAAGGTTATATAACTTTTCGTACATAAACATGAAATTTGTTGTAGAAAATTCTTTAAACCAAACATTTTAATCTAGGACTTCAATTTAATCTGTTCCTTGAATCTATTTTTATGTGGCCCTTAAAAACATATCCAAAAATCCATTGCTAATATAGCAATAAAAATACTTTGGGTACTGACAGCCTCTTTGGAGTGTGTATATATAAAGTTGCAAACTTGTATTCATATTCTTTTCTGTGATATGTTGTACTAAAATCCAAAATGCTTTTGCACCATTTTTAAAACATTTTTTTCTTTTGATGTTGGTACCAGATTTGCTGTAAATGATTGCTGCTTTGGGGGTTAAACATTATGTTAGTAAAGATCCAACCAGAACACTAAATTATGGATAAAAATTTCAGAACTGGTGGCATAAATTTTTTTAGGCTTTATTCAAAATTTGTTTATTACCAAACCATGCCATTTTTTTCTGGAAAGGAAAAAAAAATGGTTTGTTTTTCCTTGTTAGGTTATCTTTTCCTGTAGGAAAGAGGAAATTCTTTGGTCCGTGTTGTAATCCTCATTCATAATACAATTTTAAGGTTGTCTTATGTGTATTATAGTAAATAGATGATTTTGAGATTGGAGGCTCCTAAGAGTTTGATTTGCTCCATTTTTCCCTAAAATAAATACCGTCTTTCCCAACTGTTATGTCCTAGGTATTGTACTTCTAATTTTAACTTCAGAATCAAGATGTCAACATCAACCAGGCTGCTGTTGAAGTACATGTATATTATAAATTATCTTATTTGTGTTATACTCTTACATGTTATTATCTTTTCTAAGAAAACAAAGTCCCTATTATTCCTATTGCAAAGCACACAGGAATTAAGAAAGTACAGTAATTTTTAAAAAGAAAAATCCGGTAAATGTAGTATTCTTAACTTGTTCTATATTACTTAATAACCTATTGTCTATATAGCTTTAATTTATAGCTGTCAGTTTAACATTGGCATGTCTGGCAAAGAAAATTAAACTTTAAGAGTTTTATAAACTGTTTCTAGGTTGCTAAAGAATTTATTTTTCTACTATATATGGTATAGACAAAGCTCAAAACTATGTACAGGAAAAAAGCCTGACTATTTCTTTTGGAAGTAGGCTGAAAAGAGAATTTTCAGAACTGTTCTTGTCTTCAGTTCATTTGGTCATGACTTTGCTATTGTAATATGTGAATCCCAGTTTATTTAAGCTATTCTCTTTTATACTTTGTTAATTTAACTTTCATGTACATTAAGTACCATTTTTGTTATTAAAACTAGCATTTATCATTTTCCACATTAACTACCTTACACCTTCCCCAAAACTTATCTCCACTTTTCTGTGCATTCTATAATTGATTGAAAAGCTTCGTAGTGGGTCATTTAAAATTCTACATTTGGTTCAATTAACCTATAGGTTTCAGTTAATTGAAAATTAAAGTACAGTTTAAAGCTCAGTCTGTTACACTGAATTGATTGCGTTTGTTTTTGCCAAGGGTTTAGATATGTTTTTAAATATTAGAAAAATAATTCTAAGAACAGAATAATATAATTAAACTTTGCTTTGGTAAGTTACTGGAAGGTCTCACTGTTTAGGGACATATTATATATGAGACTTAAAGGATGAAAAGGATATTAGATAGTCTCATAATTATGGGTAAACATTAAGGCATTATATTTTACAATTTTAAATAAAATTCCATCTACACACATGTTGCCATTGTTTCATTTAAGCTTCAGTGCTTGTAGTTACTACAATATTGTACTTAACAGTGGTTAGGTTAGCAATATAAAGATGCATAGTGGTACTCCTTTTCAAATTTTTAATAGATTTATTGGAAGTCAAATTTTATTCAACAGACACTAGGATATACAATTAATTTTAGAACAAAATTCCAGGCATAATGTATTTCCATTTGAAATGGTATTTGTTTAGTGCTTTTTCCCCCCTAACATTGACGATGTAAATACTGTGTAGGTAACCACAATCTAACTTAGCCAAAAAGCAGCTTTTATTTTCCATACTGTGTGTAAATAATGTAGACCCTTTTTTTTTTTTTTAGGTACTGGAATTTAATTTCTAATATCTCTTAGATATAAACAAAAGGGAACAATTGGAATAAGATTTAGGCCTTAGCTTCCATGGTGATTTTTAGTTTTTTATACGGTAATAATTGTGATGCTATTTGTCAACTGGATATAAATATATATATAATTTTAAAAAGTCAAAAGTGCTTTGTTTCTTTGTTTATAATTAATGTAATTTTGTGCTTCACCCACAGGATGCTGCAGTAAATTAAATATCAGTGAAGCTTCTTCTGTATAAAGAATGCTCTGAATAAAACATTAAGAAGCTGTGTAATTTTAAGTTATAGTTGCCTCTAATTTTACCATTTCATTGGTAAAATCTATTTTCTTTTTTGTGTAAAATAGGAAAATAAAAATAAATTTTTCAATATGATGAAAGTTTTAGTAGGGAGGTATATTACTAAGCTTTTATACTATACCATGAGAGGAGATCCAAAATTCATTTTGGATGTACACATACTGGTGAAAATTCAGTTTTTAAATGTTCAGGAAAAGATTGATTGCACAGATTTCTGATTCCACTGTTACCTGGACCTGAATTTTGAGCTGTGGCTAGACGTTCTTTTGAGCCACTGGAAATATTTTGAAGCCTATTTTAGTTTATTAGCAGACTGCTAACATTGAAAAATATACTTTTGTTTTCTCTTAATTGGTTTATGAATATTAAGCCAAACTTTATGGATGTATGTTCTCATATTCTGTGGATCTGATGAAGTCTGACTTTAATTTTTGTTTTTCTTGAAATTGATAATTTTAATTAATTACCTTCTTAGGCTGAACAATTTCTGATTTGTTTCAACAGTTATGGGTTTTATTTACTTTTTTATTGTATTTGAATTCTTGACGTTCTCAGCAGCCTTTTCAGTTTCTCAAATGTCTGAAAATAAAATTTTCTAAGATTTAATAGGGGAAGGAACCACTCTTCAAAATGGATTTCTTATGGTAACATCGGTGTGTAGTTGAGAAAACTGTACAAGCATTAATATCTCATACCCAATATCCAATCATTAGATATCCAAGTACTGTGATCTCTTTACATTAGTTAAAATCTAATTAACAAACTTTGGGGATATTTACTATTAAGTTGAACCTTGTCATCATCCTATAAGCATGATTTCCATCCCCACCCCCAATATTAGTTTTATCTCTGTGGGTGTGGGGGCAGGTAAGTGGGGGGATCCACAGATGTCATATCAGTTAAATCTTAAAGTGTTTAATATTAGTATTTCATAGAAATTTTTCAGGCAATAGAAATGATTTTGGAAGGCTAATGGTAGTCAAAGTTTTAAGATTTCAATCATTACTGTTTAATATATAAAATTTATAAACCCTAAAATTAATACAGTGCTAGCAATTTTGGTTGTCATTTTACAAGTAGTGCTAAGATCTACAGTAAACACACTGAGTAGTTGTCACAGAATTTGTAGTTTAGAAACACTTGTTTAATTCCCACAGTGCTGATTTTCTATTCAATTTTATTCGCCTCGTGTAAAAATTATGAACATTTTAATAATGGCTCTTCTGTTCTAAAAGTTTGCCTCATTTTTAGTTAAGATTCTCTTAGTGTTGTGACCTATTTTTTCAAAATTATTTTGTATTATATTTTATTCCAATACAAGTGATGTGGGCTTTAACAATTGACCTGTTTACTCATTGCTTCACTAGTTCATACAAGTTAGTTGTAATTATGTGTCTCCACTCCCCAGATCATTTTCTTGTGACCTTAATAAACTAAATGTTTTGTCCTAATCATTTAATATGTTTTAGGTACTTGTAGTTCTTAAAAGATCTTACCATTTTAAACGTGGAGCTCTTATTTTCTTTCCCTTCTCTTCAGATTCTGGTATTTCATTTTATCCAAATAATTGTCTTTGTAGGGGTTAGTGAAGCCACTTTATATGTAATACCCTAAAATTACAAGTAAAATTAGAAGCAATCCACACTATCCCTTCTGTTATTATTTGTGTAGGACTTGAGTTATTTTAAATGTGTAGGTGAAAAGATTTTAAAAACA